ATGAGAAGGCTACTCCTGTTAATGAATTAGGGAATAGCCTCATTTTATGGTAATCAGTTACGTCACCACTTTGCAGTGTGAATCGCCCTATGTGTTCTAAAGTAGACACCTCTCCTAAACCGATAAACAGTGAAAATTCGGGCACTTTATATCCTCTAGGCCACAGATATGCTTGGTCTATCCAATCAGGATATGGTTTTGTGTAAGTTGGCCTAATGACATGACGTACTCCGAAAGCCATTTGATCCTGTACGATTTCCATAATCTGATTCCTCAACATGACGTTGGGGTCATATGGAATCCCTATAGGTTGGTTGACCGATTGATTTGCTTGAGGCCTGGTGTTTGGTCCTTGATTGGGAACAAAGTTACCATGATTTGGGACATTGTTACCATTAGCCTAAACATCTATTCTCTCATTAACACGTGGGGTATTCTGCCCATTCTTTAGGATATTATCTCTTACATTTGGATTACCCCCAAGTTAGACGTATCAATGCCACTATTCTGATTTGGCATTGTACCACCCTCCTGGTTTGAAGTAGAGGGATCAAATGGTTCTACCCCTTGATTCAAACTTAAGATTGGGGGATTATGTCCCACAATTGTCCTAGTTTGAAAGTGGTTTGTAAGAGGCACAACTGGCTGACAAATTTGGCCTACCAACTTATTCATTATTTCGTTCAAAGTATTCAGTTGTTTGGTCATGTTGTCATAATGTGCATTCCCATTCTGGGTAAATCTTTCCATATTATGAATACTTCGTAGATTTACCTGTTCAACGATATCTTGTGTGAGTTCTCAGAGTAATGCACGCATGGTTCGAAGACTCAACTCTGTCATTGGTTCGTAGCAACTGTGATTGCTCTGATCCTGTCCATCTGTTCGTGGAGAGCTATGCTGCTCCTCATATCGCTCGATCACAGACTGGACTCCTGACTTGCTGTTTCCTTATCGAATTTCTGAGGCATATTGTTTCACCTTTTGTATCTTCAACACCAAACACCAAGGTCCAACTGGGCGTGTCAAATTGTTTCGCGTGGGTAGTCGCTAACAATTAAAAAGGGATCAGACGATTGTATAAGGGACAAACCTCTTGAGATAAAGTCTCAAAAATGGGTGTTTTATTGGCAATGACTTTACAATTGGAACTTAAACAAAAATACCTCCAAGGAGCGCAAGCACACGAGTACTGAAAAGAAATGTTATACGTCTAAACTAAGAAATTGAAATTACATATTCTCTGTTTGAGAGTGTTTGATTCGGGGTCCCTTGCTCTATGTTTTTTCTTCCTTTTATATTCCTTTGATACTCTCTTTATGATCAACCGCTTAGAAACCGCTTAATTGCTTTATAACTGCCCATTTTCTTCATGGTGGCCAACTTATCATGGAACTACCGTCTCTAACTGTTGCCATTACTCTTTGTCGTTCAACCGTCCTCAACTGAACATCCTTGAATCGTGGAACGTGATAAGATTACCGAATAACTGCTTTGATAATTGCACTTTTGGATAACCATAACATCTCATGTTTGCTAAGATCCTGGACGATTCGAAAGTTTGGGCGAGAACAGGGTCATAACTCTGGGCGACTGCAAGGCACTTCATTCGCTCAGATCCTGGGCGTCTTGTAAGTTTGGACGATGATGTTACCGCGTTCGTGGACTTCCATTCCATTCACTAATAACCTATTTGGGCATTTATCCTAAATTGCCCAGTTAGGCTTCATTCTTTGGCTATTTGAATTGGGCTACACTTTTTGCATGTCAACAGAAACATTACTCGTAAAACTTCTGTGCATGGGGCTGCACCACTTTTTGTTTGTGTTTTACACCATGCCAGAGTATAAAAATTATATATATTGCTGATGTACGTATTCTTCTTGTAAATATGCCAGGTGCGAAAAATGACCATTTGGGGAATGGTGAAAACAATAATACTATACTGTACATGAAGATTCACTGAACTCTGAGCCTTTGGAGTCTCATTTTGACGTCTTATATTACACATGGTAACAATATTTCTCATATATGTGTAACACCATATGCAATCTTATTCTTTCATGCTTAGGCTAGTGAAGTATATATCTCAATTTTCCTGATGCAACCGATTGTTATATATTTATACTATAAATATAAAATGTGAAAGAAATAATGAGTTTAGATGAGTGTCCAAGTGGTGGGAAATGTGGTATTTGTGTGAGACGTATGGGGGTTTGAGTCACTTCCCACGTAATTATTAAAAAGTCTTAATTGAGGCCTTAGACTTCCTTGACTAAAATAAAAATTTTTCATTTTATTTATTTTGAAATTATTTAATTAGTCAAATTAGCCATTATTTTCTGACCATTTTTTGTAACAACCCATTACTCACAGTCATTAAAATATTCACTACTAACAGTCATTAAGATTCTACATTATTCTCTAATCATAGTGGAGACTGTTACATCCAGTTTGCCTATATAAACCCATGTCTCATTTTAAGAAAAACACACATATAAGAAAACAGAAAATCATATTCTGAATTTTTTTGTACTCGGGTTGTTATATATATTCTGGAGTATAATTGAGAGTTCTGAAAAACAATTCGTGATTGCTACACAAGTGGTTTATCATCATTGTATTCTGGAAGTGATTGTCAACGGAGGTCGCAGCAGTTACCAACGAGCAATTTCACTTTAGGATATTGTACTGTCACGAGACTCGATCAGACAATAAGTTTTATTTCTACATTTTACTGTTCAGCACGTCACTGCAACTGATTATTTTTCAAACATCGATGCATTAAGAAAATCCTTTTTTCCCTCATGTTTTAGGAGCTGCTATTTCATGTGAGAGTTGCTGTTGTTTCACGTGTTTTCATTCATAAAAGTGAACTCGCACCTGCAGGAAACAAATGTATCCAGGTGTAATTATGTGCTTTCCCGATGGTGTCACTTATTCAAAGGGTTATGTAAAAGACCTAGATGAAGCAAAGAGTTACATTACCTTAGATGACGAAGTCCCTTCTTCCTAGACAGGAGAAAATGATAATATAGAACAGCAGGATCCCACAGGAAAAAATCATGACAGAAGAACAGTTGACTTAACAAAAAATGTTAACTCTTTCTTATTTCCAATTTCCTAGCCCATTAAAATTTTCCAATATTTAAATAATTTGTGTTTTGAACAGGAATTTATTTCGACCTATTGTTCCTGATGAATACCAAGTGAAGATAACAACTCGAGAAGAGCAAACTCTTTTCTCAGCTCTCTTCAAATGATTTGTCTCTTCCTCCCGATTGGTAGCCATTTATGTTTTCTTCTGCAGTCCAATATTAGGGGTCTGGCGCGGGGGTTCACTTTTGACATTCAGTCATGATTTTGAAGCAATGTGTGTCACCAAGGCGGACTGGGGTTTGCTAGGTGTCGTTTGAGATTCTTCCACTAGCAAATAGATCATCAAGGTAATGCCATCAGATCTTAATCATATGTCTGTACTGTCCAGACCAACGTACCAAACACGCCACTGATGTGTTACATATCTGTAAAGTTGGCATTCAGGCCTCGAAATTGCAACTACACTTTTTGTGTACTTCTATTCTTGGTTCAGAAAAAAAAAGTATCGATTATCTTACGGTATCTGCTATAACTTGACATCAGGAAGATGAGGTTGAAGAACTAACCAGTTGCGATTGTTTTACTGCAGTTTTGTCGACTGCGTCTCTTGTTGGTCCTCAAAGAAAGGACTTTTGAAGCCATATTTTCTAGGCATCTTCAAAGAAAACGTATTGTCAAGCCTGTATAGAATTTTGTGTTATTCCTATTTGTACATAAATCCTGGAAAATTGAACTTGTAATCTTGTAACATGAATTTGGTTGATCCATTTTGTTAATGTATTTTCCTTTTTGAAATACAGTGTGGCTGTTGGGATGTTACTGATTGGTCGGGTTGAGTACAGACACGAACCATATTTTATGGGATACGTCTGCTTATGGGCTTGGCAAAACCCACAATTTTTTATATTTTTCATGTGAATTACATACTATATACGTGTTAATATGTATGTCGTGTTACACATCTTTATTTCTAGGTCATGCCTACCTGTACTTGTTTGAAGACGATGATTTTGATGCAAGAACCTTCTATCATCGATCATTTCTTTTCTCCCCTTTTCGTTTCTCTACTGATATTTGACAACTAAGTAAAAATCTATTCTTAGTTATAACTGTTGCAAGAGCATTGAGTTTCTTTGCCTAGCTTTTTAATAGTATTCTTCGAAATAAACTTAAGGGGCATTTGTTTCCCATTTTTGTAAAAATAAAAATGAAAAATATAATCGTTATGGGCCCCACACAATAGATAAAAATTCAAATTTAGTGACTTGATATGGTAGATTAATGTCATATTTTTCATTTTAATGGGGAAATAATAGTAAATAAACAAGGGCTTAAATAGTATGCTTGAAAAATTTTATACTTGAAAATAAGTATCAAAAATAAGCCATACATTTTTTATATTTTTCGTGTGAATTACATTCTACATACGTATTAATATTTTGAATGCCCGATGACACCAATTTCTTCTTGTGAAAACCTTGAGTAAGAGTGTAGAACTGACACTTCCATCGTTGTTTTGAGAGCTTAAGCCTCAGGAATTTAAGAAACTCCAAAATCCATTGGATCTCACAAAAAGGGATTCCATATGTCCATTCTATATCAAATGCAATCATGAATAAAAAAGCTAAAATTATATTTTCACATATCACCTATCCATTAAAGCCAGCGTCCCATTCGGCATATTGTGCTAGTTAAACTGACTTAAGTGAAGAAGGTGACGTGATTGCACCAAATTGATTATGAATTACAATCTGCAAGAAAATGGAAGTTGAGTTACCTGATTGCACCAAATTAAAGACCAGTCATCCAAATGCAACTTAACCTATTATATTATTCAATTCATGTTAACTCATTATTTATGAATGAATACCATTAAAAAGGACTAGAATAAAAAAATAAAAAAATTCCAACATATAATCAATTTTCACTGCTAGTTTTGGTACAAAAAAAGATTCATATTCACACACTATTTTTCACCCGAATACAGAAAATTTGGGAAAATAATCAAATAATAATTCTCTTTAAAGTACCCCCCGCAGACTCAACAAAAGCCATCAAAGCATATTTTGTTAAGAGTCAATTTCAAACAAGAAAGGAATTATAAGAATTTACAGTTATCTGTAATCTTTCTACTATAAAACACACAATTCACTAATTGGCCCTCTGTATTTGGTATGTCAAAGCATTGCATAAAAATGATCAAATGAGGTGTTTAAAAAACTATCCACATTATATATTCTGTGTTCCAGTTGTGCAATATCACCTTTTGAGTGGTGACTGATGTTTCTAAAGCAACAACTCTTCCAAAAACCTTTCGTCCAAATTGGCCACGTTGCAACGTACGATTTTGACAGAGAAACCAGGTGATTTGAATCCATCCTCCCAACTTCTTTAGTTGCTGGAACATAAAAGAGCTCGCTTTGGTTGGCACTATAACCCAGAAATTACGAGCCAGCAATACCACCCAGGGCTGCTCAGTCGGAGTACGGCTGGGAGTCCATGCACAGATGTACTAATTTCCTTTGATACTGTCCGTAATATTCACCAACTGCAATAACATCTACATTCTCCGGGTTCAGCTCAGCTAAGTTAAACTTCTTATTCTTTGTTGAAGAATCTGATTCTTCATCCGTATCCAGAGTAGAGAGAAATTCATCAAGGATTTCACGGCAAGCGAATATGAACATGGCTGCTGTGTCAGGCAGCTGTGCCTCACGAAGTGCTGCCAGTGCCTCCTTCAGTCCACCGGCTGAGACGTACAAGATCAGAGCCCTGCATTGGATCATAGTTAAGGATAAAAATAAATAGAGAAATGTTTCTTCGCAAAATAAGAAATGAGACAAGTTGTACCTCCAAATGTTATGTTCAGCATGATGGACGTGTTCAGCCCACCTTTGCAACACCCTGTCCATAATTCATTTGAAATTAATCAATGTGATGGTTAACCAATATACAGATTTGGACGGCTTAGATATGACATAAATGTTGTTTTTTAAACTTTATTCAATGTCATAGAATGCTCAGAAAGATATTTGCTAACCAATAAACTTCAGCCCTTGCAATCTATGCAAGTTCAATTCAATAACAGCAGATTCTGGTATTTGCTATTAGGTAGCGAAGCATAGAAAGGGTCACATGAATACATGCAATATGACCTAAATTGGCAGCTTATAGTTATGGAAAATTCCCCAAGTACAGGGGAATTCTTCAAAGAATTCCTGATTTGCAGGTGTTTTCTTTTTTGCCAACTGCCAATGAAACTGTGCCAAGTGTTCTCCAGTATTAATTCTGTGAAAATTTCCCTGTACGTGTAGCATTACTCTATACCCATATAGCATCATGGACAATCCGTGTGTCAGATAGATCATTTGAAAACTAATGTTTAATGCCTATGTTATAATAAGTATTTGCTTAGAAAAGCACTGGCCCTATGTTTAAAGTCTTGCTGCGGGAGATTTTAGGTGTATAAAAGCATCTTTTATACAATAAAAATATGTATGTAAGGAGAACATCAATGCCTCGTGACAGATCAGAAATGTTTCACTGCACATAGTTGTAGAATAAGATAAAACTGCAGAATCTCATGGAATGTATACTGGCTTGACCTTTTTAATTTGATAAAATTGGAAATAAATTCTTTAATTTGGCAATAAGATAGAAAACTTTCATACTTAAAAATAAGAAAAAATTAACTTATTCAAAGATGTTTGGAAACCAACTTTTACATAATTTGAAGCATAGCAAACATGCGAGTGTGTTTGGGCTAAGCTTCTTGTTCTGAACACATTTCGATAATTTTTTTCGTACTTTTTAAGTAAAAATAGTTACTTATTTTAAAAGTAGCTTTTACTTTACCGTCAAAATAGCTAACTTTGACCAATGAAAATATTATTTATTTTAAAAATTATTTACTTATAAGCGAACCTTTTAAGCTTAACAAACATGCTCATCTAGGAGTTCGCTGATATGCTAGGAAAATTTCACCAAGCCCCGTCTTCACTCCTACTCTCAGTACATGTAAGAATCCTCGATTACTAGTTATTTCCCCATCCCAAGCCCTATATAGACAACACTACTAACATTTCGACGTCTCTTAAAAGATTCTAGTTCATGTTCTTGATAAGTCATGCACATACGCGATCAAGACGTGGCAAGGTGGTATGTGTGCGTGTAAATATTACTAGATACAAGACCATATTTTCTTGGGCTTAGAACGTACTAATTTTTAGTATAACATGAAGCTAATTTTTTTCTATTATTTCTAGCACTAGAAAATCGCCATCTTTAGGTTGTGTATTCCAATGAAATTTTAGCTGATTCTTATACTAAAAATGCATCATCAAAATCATTAAAAAAAAAAAAAATTATCATTATCTAATGTCACAAAATTAAAGTTTAAAACAGCCCTAAGTTTTAGCCTATATAATCCAAGTATGGCAATGCTTGTATAAAGTAGTGTTTTCTTGGGAAAAAAATAGTATCAAAATTCGTCTATGATGATGCTCATGCATAAAAAGTACTTAGAATTGTCCAAATGTACGCAATTTGATCTCAATCCAAGGATTAAAGTCCATTAGCTAAAAAAAAAAGTTTTATGGGGTAATAAATCAAACTTTCCAGGTATAATTCGCTCCTTGCAAGAAAAGTGTACATGTGAACGTTTAACAAACTTTATGTCAAGTGTCATGAGTGAAAAAGTTACTACCACCTTTTTTTTTCCCAAAATCTGAAAATAAGCCTTTTGAAACCATTTCTCATCAGTAATTTTGTTTAAATCATTTTAAGATAGATTGTGTCAAAAGTTTTCTAATAAATTATAAATCATTGAAAACACATACCCGTAACTCTTAAAATTGCATTAAAACGAAAATCATGTTTTTACTAATAAAATATTCAACATTTATGCAATCAATAAATACAACACATTTCACTAACATATGTCCAATATAATAATTTATTGATATGAATATAGTGCTTAATGTGTTAAGGTGCTAATTCCCTAATTTAGAGTATTATCAACGGAAGTCGAGTATCACCATCCTACAAACGGAGAAATTTTTCGTAAAGAGTTACCTTGAATTTTGTAGGGCATTTATATCATATTTTAAAGTGTTAACAACATTCATGAAAATTTTATTTAGGTGTCTCCACCTTATTTTAGGATAATAACCAAATCCATTTGAAGAGAACCATTACATAAGTTCGAGGTGTTACTATCACACCATGTCAATTTAATCAATGATGTCGCAATCTTTGCAAAATCTTCCAAAAATTTATGATAATATCCAACGAGTCCTAAAAAACTCACTTCCGTAGGTGTTGTTAGATGTCGCCATTCTAATTCAATCTTACAAGGATCCACGGAAATTCCTTTCATTACTATATGACCCAAAAATGCCACTTTCTCTAGCCAAAGCTCGCATTTCTAAAATTTGGCATATAACCTCTTTTCCCTCTAGCTTTCGGCCGCTCTCTCTTTCTATACATCCATCACTTTCATCTCATTTTACCATCTTAGTACTCATTTCCTCAAGTACAACCATGGTTAGAATCAAGACGTCGACCAACCAGGGCAAATCCACTCATAAAGAAATCGGTGGGAGGTTGGGTTCTAACAAAGAACACCATTCGAGGGCTGTCCGAAATAAGGAAGATCACTCACCATCAGACTTTGATAATAAAGTGTCTTTCCTCAACTACAAGTCTCCTTGACAAGGAAATTTTACCTGGCAAGGTTGTTGACCATTCCTTCCTCGAGTAGATAATTCTCTCTCTCCTAGGCCAACTCTGCGTCATTGGTTAGGCTAAATTTTTAAAACAAAGTGGTGGCTAGTGCGAATACATAGTGCAAAAGTTCTATGCCCATTTATGCTCTACTAGTCTCGAGTTCCAAAGCCCAACTCATTCTCAACTTTCGTTCGCAGTCAAAACACTACATATAGACAAGATTACTATTTCTAACTACATTAGCATTCCAATACGGGGATTGTGCTCTTGTAGAAGAGCTCGTGCTGTTAGATGACATTACCCACTCGCCATTTGATGAAACTTTACGAGTCAGTGTTCCCTTCCCAACGAATGAGTTGGGATGAACGAACTTGAATCTCTCATTAGACAAGTCAACATTTATCTTAACTAGTGAAGCAGTAATGAATCGGCATAAATTTCCTCGTTCGTAGAGTGGTAATGCCTAAATTTAGGGTGGTAATACCCAACACCCGTCATTAGAGTACTGGCACCTTGCCACATTTAGCACTATATGCATGTTAAAAAATAATTATTATATTAGATTATATGTTAGTGGAATATGTAATATTTATTTATTACATATAAGTGTTGAATATTTTATTGACAAACACATGATTTCGGTTCGAATGCGATTTTAAGAGTTACAGGTACTTGTTTTTACTGATTCAAAAATTGTTGAAAAGCTTCAACACGATCTATCTAAAAAACGTTCAAAACAAAATTTATTGATGAGAAATGATTTTTCAAAAGCTTATTTTCAGATTTGAAAAGAAAATAAAGTGACAGTAACTTTCTCACTCATAATAATTGGCATAAAACTTCTTAAAAGTTCATATGTGCACTTTTCTTGTAAGAAACGAATTTTACCAACATTTTACCAAGAAAATCTAATTTATTACTCTATAACTTTGACTTTTAGCTAATAGACTTTAGTGCTTGGCCTAGGAATCAAATTGTAAGCATTTAGACACTTGGCAAGTTGTTTCTAAGCACTTCACATGCATGGGCACCATCATGAACGGATTTTGATATGATTTTTGCACATTAAAACACCAATTTATGCAGCATAAATCATGGTCAAAAAGTGTTTGGATGTTGCTTAAGTTTTGGAACAAGTCAGTCATAAAAACACCGGCATGCATGAAATTCTATTGCCTAAATACTAGGGATGTTTTATACTTTATTTTTGTGACATTAGGGAATTGAAACCTTCTAAATGATGTCATATGACACAAAAGAATATTTTAAGAGCATGTCTTGCAATATTCATACATCAAATTATATGCACAACCACAAAAATGGAATTTGAAGATCCAAATTCACCCACACAAGACAGAGACCTCCTCTAAGCAAGTTCCTCTTTTGCTACCAACGAACGGATGAAAAAACGAAGCATTTCCCTTATGATGCACTCTAGTACTTGTAGCAATAGCCATTCCACCTCGCTCCTACCACCATTTCTACTATCACCAAATCAAAAGAAACTGAGAGCCCACTCCTGTGCCATAAATCTTATCATTGCCACCCTATCCCTACAAGTCCTGTATTGGCATTACCTAAAAAGGATACAACTCGTGCTTCGATGGCCCAAAATTAGTGTTAAAAGTACGTGTAATGAGATTTTTTCATCATACCAAGGACACATAGAAAACTCTATATACTTGTCATAATTGGCAGGAGAAGTGGAGATTGCTAGGGATGATCACAATAGTAGGGGTGACACGTGGGGTTGTCCAGGTGGCCTGCTCTATTGCAATCAAATGCTTTAGATGATGAAAAAAACCTTGTCACACTCATTGCATATGTAAGGAAGACCTTGGACTAGTAGAGTAGCGATAAAACGAGAAGATTCTATTGTCTTCTTGACATCATTTGAGGTAATGGTAACAATGCGAAGGAAGATCACAGTGGTGATAATAACAAAAGGGTAAGTGTTGCGTGGAGGGTCTCATACGCTTTGAATGCTTGGTACGATGAAAAAATCCCATTACATTTCTTGCACTTGTAATACTGATTTTAGGCCATTGGAGGAGTCATATTGCCTGTGGGTTAACTGCGCTAGGGCTTATCATGGTTTCTTCTATTTTGGAGGTCATAGGAATTATGGCTGTAGAGTTCTCAGTTTCTTCTATTTAGGTAGTAGTAGGAATGGCAAACGTGGAACTGTTGTTGCCATCACTACAAGAAAGCATCATTAAGAAAGGGCTATGTTTTTTCATCACTTCA